CCCCCCCCAATCCCCAGGTCAAAGTACAACCTGAATGAGCTGTCCCATGACACCGCCACAGAACTCATCCAGCACGTGCTGGATAATGGGGTACAGGTGGCCGAGGTGAGTGGGGAGGGGTCTTGGAGGGGGGGAGGAGAAGACCCCACTTTGTTTCCCCCCAAACGCCTCAGTGGGGCTGAGCAGAGTGGGGGATGATTTGGGGGTGGGGATTTGGAGGTCTTTGGGGTGATGCTGGGGGGGTTTGGGGAGAACTGGGGGCTCTGGGATGCTCTTGGGGGAGTGGAGTGCACGCTCTATGCCCCCCCCCAGGTGTTTCTGGACACAGTGGGGCCAGCAGAGAAATATGAAGCAAAGCTGCGGGGTCGATTCCCGGGGCTGGAGATCACTGTGCGCCCCAAAGCTGATGCTCTCTTCCCCATCGTCAGCGCTGCCAGCATCTGTGCCAAGGTGACCCCCCCCACTGCGACCCCCCCATCCCCCCACTGCGACCCCTCCTCCCCCCACACCATCACCACTCTGACACTCTCCCTGGCACTTTGACTCCCCCGTATCTCCCCCTTTGCTGATCCCAAGACCTGAAGCAGATGCTCTTTTTTTTGGGGGGGGGTGGGGGGGAGGGAAGTCCTGGGGGAGCCCAACTTGCCCCACTCCAGTTTTTCTATACCCTCCTCCCCCCCACCCCCAGGTTGCCCGTGACCGTGCAGTGAAGTGTTGGAACTTCACAGAGGATTTGGGGGATGACATCGACCGTGATTACGGCTCAGGGTACCCCAATGGTAGGAGCTGGGGGGGTCACAAGGGGAAGGGAGGGGGAAATGTCATGGCAACCTTTAACTTCCCCCCTCACCCCTCCCCCATTCTGACTCCCCAGACCCCAAAACAAAGGAGTGGCTGAGGAGGAACCTGCAGCCCGTGTTTGGGTTCCCAGGGTTGGTGCGGTTCAGCTGGGGCACAGCACAGGAACTGCTGCGGCACGGGGGGGTCCCTGTCACCTGGTATGGGGGAAAGGGGGAGCTGGGGGGGTCCTATTACCTGGTACGGGTTGGGGTTGGGTCCTGTCACTTGGTATGGGGGGGGTCTGTGGGAGTCTTGGGTCCTGTGGAATACAGGATGGGAAGAAGA